CAGTCTAACCTTTCATCCATCATCCACCTATTAATTCATCCATCCATTCACCTATCCATTCATCCATCCATCCACCTATTCATGCATTTGTCCATCCATTCATTCATCCATCTGTCCATCCGTCCACCCGCCCATCAATCCTTTCATCCATCCATCCATCCAGTCACCTATTCACGCATTTGTCCATCCATCCATCCATCCACCTATTAATTCATCCATCCATTCAGTTGTCAGTCTAACCTTTCATCCATCCATCCATCTATTCATCCATCCACCTATAAATTAATTTGTGCATCCTTTCATCATCCATCTATTTGTTCATTCATCCATCCATCCATCTACCTATCCATTCATCCACTTATTCATCTGTCCATCCTTTCATCCATCCATCTGTCCATCCGTCCACCCGCCCATCAATCCTTTCAACCATCCATCCACCTATTAATTCATCCATCCATCATCTTTACCCGCTTCTTCCTTTTTGGGTCACTGGTGCCCATGTCCAGCAGTCACTGTGCGAGAGGTGGGGGACACCTGGACTGGTCTCCAGTCCATCACTGAGACAAACAACCATTCACTCACTCATTCACACCTCGGGACAATTTTTTGTTCTGTTGGAGGAAACTGGAGGACCTGGAGAAAACCCACGCAGCACGGAGAGAACATGCAGACTGCACCTAGAAGAGGCCCCAGCTGGGATTTGAACCGGCGACCTGCTCGCTGAGAGACAACAGCTCTACCAGCTGATCCACCGTGCTGCCCAAAGTGAAACTCTTTAATTATAAAGATTCATTCCACACGGAGTAAAATATTTTAAGCCCTTATTTCTTGTAATTTTTGATGACTATTAAAAAAAAAAGTTACAAGAAATTAAAAAATAAACTCAGCGTCTCAGAAAATTAGAATATTGTGATAAAGTTCCATGTTGTAAACTCGTGCACAAATTGACGGGCTACAAATCTCTCATTCCTCAAGTCCAGCCACTCCTGAACCAGAGACAACAGAAGCGTCTTACCTGTCTCTGTCCCTCTGTGGGACAACGTCCTCTTTTGTAAATCAACGTCCCAGAGTCTGGAGGACCGGAGGGGTCCAGAATCCACGTTCAAGTCCAGAGTGAAGATTCCAGTCAGTGATGGCTTTGGGTCCATGTCCTCTGCTGGTGCTGGTCCACTGGGTTTTCTGGTCCTCAGCCAGGTAAGACGCTTCTTACACCTCTGGCTCAGGAGTGGCTGGACTGGAGGAATGAGAGGCTGTTTAGGATTCTTGTTTAGACTTTATCACATGACTATCACATGACTATCACATGACTATCACATGACTTTAACACAATGTTCTCATTTTCTGAGACACTAAATTAGTTTTTTCATTATTTGTAAACTATAATCATCAAAATCACAAGAAATGATGAAACATTTTACTCTGTGCGTCACGAATCTTTAACTATGAGTTTCACTTTCTGAAAATATTGAGAATTAAACGTTTTCTTGATATTCTAATTTGTTTAGAAGCGCCTGTAAATACAAACACGAGCCGACCTGCAGCTTCCGGACACGTTCCTGCAGGAGCACCGTCTCAGGGGGCTCTGGATGAAGTCCTGCTCCACCCTCGGCCTCTGGATGAAGTCCTGCTCCGGGTTCCTTCAGATAATCCTCTTGGCCGCTCGGATCCAGGTGAAGCTGCACGGGGAGCTAAATGTGCATTAATTTAAAGCCTCGCTAAACTTCACCTGCTGTCCTGCGCACATGCTAAACTCAACCTGCTGTAGCTAAAACAAAATAAAACTTTTACTTTTCCTAAAGGCATTAAAATGTGACTTCATCTATGTGCTCCCAGATTATTTACTCATTAGGATTAATTTTTTAAATGACGAAAATCGATAAAAAAGTTAAAAAGTCCACCTGAATTAATTAGCCTTCGCTACACCTGTGAGCAAATACACGCGCAGTGGACGTAACTTTACGTCTGCTCTCATTGGCTGAAACGGTTGACCTTTGAACTGAAGGGGCGTGGCCTAACACAGAAACCAGTCGTTGCGTGTTTAGGTTGTAAATAATTCGCCCATTTTTAATGTTTTTAAAACAGGTTTATTGTTTGGCACAGTTACTGTTACGTGTTTCACTAAATCTAGAAATAAAATAAAAGATTAGTTACACCATAGATTCACCCATCCTTAGGAATAAATAAACTTGTTAGCAAAGTTAAAAAATAATAAAAACGCAAAAAGAACTATGGTCAGGTTTGATGGACGTGGAAAGTTTGACCATTTTGTCAACAATAGTTTATAAACTAAACAGAAAACTTATGTACATAATTACCAGTTTATTAAAATCAAAAAATTACCATAAAACATTTGGTCTAAAAAAAATAAAAATACTGCAGGTCTCATCCCCGAACACCAAATGAAAGCAAAACGTGCTTTAAGGTAAAAACTGTAAATACTGGTGGATTTAAAAGTTTACAAACACGATTCAGGTAGTTTTCCAAATCGTCCATCAGCTTATCGATAATTTTAATCCTAATCAAGTAAAAATAAATCTGATGTTGAGCGGTAACAGATTAGTGTCACTTTGTTAAAACGACCATAAAATATTCATGTGCAGTTAAAGCACAACGATTAAAAGTTTCTGTAAAAGTTTTTTTTTTTTTTAATCTGCGCTCAAATGTTTGATCCTTGTTGAGCTCGTTACCACGGCAACAAGCATGCACTATGAAAACGGCTACCAGGACTGAGTTCAGGTTGAATTCCTCCTGGAAAGAAAAGGAATCCACAAACTGCCGGATGATTTGGACACGGTGCAGCAGCGGTTCAGTTTGTTGACAAATCAGCGACTGAACCCGAGCTCCCGTCGACCCGCAGCTCAGAAACCTCCGCCCTCGTTTATCCCAACGACGGTTTCATCACCCCGTCTGCAAACGAACCAACTCCACGCGAGACAACCGAGCGCTCGGCTGCAGGAACCGATTAGAGCGAAACCATTTCTCTCGTTTATTAAAGAAAAGAAACGGGCGCTGAAACCGCAGCGCCGCTCGCACGTCGTCGGCCTGAGAGAAGATCGTGGCGGCGCCTTCGTAAAGAATCAGGAAAACTCAAAGGTATTAGAAAAATGTAAACGATGAGAAACGAGTGACACCAACTCCAGGTTTGGCAGCTTCAATACTTCCTTTAACGCTCGGTTACTGCCGGACGACTTAAAG